GAAAATGTGGGTGGGGCAATCCTCTCCTCTCAAAAACCCTGAATCATGGGCAAAAAACACACTGTTAAAATTATGGCAGCAAATATAAGTATGATTTGGGTTGGGGGTTTTGTTCTTTTTTCCCCTTTTCCAGTGATTTTAAAGATGGGAAAAAGGTCTCTCTGAGGCTTTCTAATCCTTAAATCCACCTGCTCCTGTGATATTATTGGGGATTTGCTGCCTCTCCAGAAGGCCAAACTAAGACTCCAGATCTTTGCTCACCGCAGTTTGAATGGTTTGCCTCCCTTCCTGCTGCCAATCTCTGTGCATAGAAAGGGGCTAAACTCCCGTCCCTCATCTACCACACTTCTATGGGGGTGGGAAGTCTTCATGCCCCCTTTTCATCTTAGCATTCCCTCAATGAGAGCAGTGCTGACTCTCCTCCGCAGGGTTGTTGTACAGACGTCTGCAATGGGCGAAGAGGGGAACGGCCAGGCTTTGAAAGAGAGGCCACACCGACGGTGTTTTTCTGGACCCCCCTCCCCAAAAGCAGCGGGCCAGCTCCTGGCAACATTAACACCGCTATCCTTGGCGAGCGCGCGTAGCCTGCAAGCGTGTGAAAGCTGGCCGAGCAGCCCGTCCCGTGACTCGGGCAAAGAAGGCTTTTTCCAGAAGCTGCTAGAGCGCTAACGCGTTTTGCCTACTTTGCCCTTGAGGCTGATTTGAGGAGCAAGCGGGGCTGGCACTGCCGGACTTCCAACCCCTTCGCGAGGCGCCGCTTTCCCCGCGGCGCCGCTGGAACCGCCGCCTCCTTTCCAGACTTGTTTAGAAACATCTTGCACGCCGTTGCGTCACTTTTGACAGCCAACCGAGGCCGTCCCCCGCGCTGCTTATCAGCCCGAGGAGGGGGGCCCTGGGGGGGCTATAAAAGGCGGCGGGGGCTGCCGAGCCAGCCAGAACCCGAGCGCGCCCCGGAGAGGTTGATCGCTGCTGCTGGTTTCTGCGGCGCTGCCCCCATGGCGAGCTACTCCCGCGTCCCGCTTCCGATGCTCCCGCCGCCGCGCTGGCGGGCGGTCCGGCCCGGCCCGCCG